GGGGGTGGGTGGAGGGAGATGGGAGGGAGGAGAGGGAAGAGGTGTGTGTGTGTGGGGTGTGTAGGGTGTGTAGGGCGTGTGTGTGGATGGTGTGTGTGTGTATGGTGTGTGTGTGTGTATGGTGTGTGTGGTTCGTAGGGGCAGAAGACGGGCCCGTGGGGGTTGGAGTGGGGGGCGCACTGACTCACACTCGGACTCGGGCATGTCTGTCGGTGTTGGTGTCGCTCTTGTCGTTGGCTGTTGGTGTGGTCTTTGTTGTGGGTTGCAGCCTCTGGGTCAAGCACATGGTGAAGAAGCGGTATGCAGTGTCGGGAGCTGGCTTTGTAAGCGACATGTCATCGTCGGTGCTACTGCTTCATCTCATCTCGGAAGTGCTGGAGATCAATCTGTTTGAGGATCCAAGAGTGGTTCCCACTCCAACGACACAGCAAGGATTCATCAGCAACGTGGCGGTGTGTCTGGAGCTGGTGGCTGAGCAGGGCATCAAGGTCAACTGCCGGTCGGAGCAAGTCGTGGAGGGTATGGCGGAGAAGACGGTGTATTTGCTGCTCCAGGTGGCACGGCACTACTACCAGACCAAGCTCACGCTCGCCGCTGATGAGGGCGAGTCAGGATCCAAGAAGTTCAACTCGTTCCTCCTCGGTGCAGTCCGCAAGTTCCTCGGCAGGTTTGGCTTTGGCCGGGTGGTCGACAAACACTCGCTGATCAACTTTAACAAGAACTGGGTCGACGGCGTGTTCTTTACGGCGCTGGCCAAGGCTGCTCTGCCGAGCGTGTTCAAGGACGTGTCCATGCACGACTTGCTGAGCGCAAGCAACAAGTGCGGCAACATCGACCGAGTTGTCAACGCCTTCCACAAGCGGCTTGGCCTGCCCAAGCTCATCACTCCCGAGCTGTTTGTGGCCGAGCCGGAGGATTGCACGCTCCATCTTTACCTTGCCATGTTTCTGGAGCAGATGGCTGGAGCCAAGCCCGGAGAGGGCTTCTCCAAGTCTTCCACGTCTGTGGCCGACGAGCAGACGCAGAGTCTGCGCGAGCTTGTTGCCTCGCTCAAGACCAAGATTTTCGACATGGAGGCGTCGTCGCAGGAGATGCTCCAACGGAATGACGAGCTGCAGCTGCAGCTGTACGACACGCAGGCCGATGCTATTCCGCTGCTGGAGAAGATTGACCGAGCGCATGCCGAGCTGGAGACGGCGCGGACCAAGATCCAGACGCTGCGTGACGAGGTGTCTGCGTTGGAGGCGTCGCGAGCCCAGGTGGTGGCCGAGGCCAAGCGGCGGCTGCAACTGTCGGAGGAGGCCAAGGCCGTGGCCGAGCGGCGGTTCAAGGAGGCGCTCGCCCGGTCGCAGGAGATCGCCAAGCAGTGCCGGGCGCTCAAGGTCCAGTTTGACACTATCATTGAGGAAAAGTCGAAGCGTGCATCGGACGACGTGGTTGCGCCCGATGGGCACGTCACCATCATGTTCACCGACATCGAGTCGTCGACTGCGCTTTGGGAGCACGACGCTGAGAAGATGGCGGAAGCGCTGCGGCAGCACAACTCGGTCATCCGCAAGGCGCTTTCGCAGTACAATGGGTACGAGGTCAAGACCGAGGGTGACGCCTTTATGGTCGCCTTTTCGTCGGGCTGGTCCGCCATTCTCTGCGCCATCCACATCCAGCGCGAGCTGTTGCGAGTTGCATGGCCCGAGGCTATTCTACAGACCCAGACTGGCGCGCCGCAGTACAACAACAAGGGTACCCTCATCTGGCGCGGTGTCCGCGTCCGCATGGGCTTGCACGCTGGCGAGCCGGAGCTCCGCGAGGATCCGGTTACCCACCGAGTCGACTACTTTGGGCCAATGGTCAATCGGTCGGCACGGATTGAGGGTCACACGGCTGGAGGGCAGGTCAACGTCTCGCAGGCTGTCTTTGACGACGTCTGCGAGCTACTGGAGGCGTCCGAGGAGCTCGAGTACAAGCTGCTTGGTGAGTTTGACCTCAAGGGCATTCGTGAGAAGATGAACATCTATCAGATCATCCCCTACGGGCTCGAGGACCGGATCTTTGAGTCGTCGCATGGCAACTCGGCAGCGACGGTCAAGCTCATTGGCGGTGATCCGGACCAAATCCAGCATGCGGTCGACGACCTCGTCCAAAAGAACGACGCGGTCCTAGCTGAGCTCAACGAGGCCGGCGAGCTCATCTCGCATGTAGACAAGGATGCGGCGGCGTTGCTGGATAACTTTGAGCGGATGCAGCAGGTGACCGATCCTGTTGTGCTGCAGGCGCAGCTCGCCGAGGCCTTTACCCGGCTCGAGCAGCAGAACCAGACGCAGAGCGAGCTCCGTGCAACGCTCGAGATCCACCGAGCTGAGACAGAGACACTGTCGCGGACGCTCGCGACAGCGCTGGCCCAGGTCAAGGATTACCAGTCGATGTTCTCGCGCATGCCAGCCAAGTCTGTCCGCGCTGCTGCCGACGACTTTCTCAAGCTCGCCATCTCGCCATCCGAGTCCGAGGCCTCGCTTCGCGCAGCGCTCGACCAGGCGCGGTCAACTATTTCGACGCTCGAGACCGAGCTTCGGCTTCTCCGGCGGCGGTTCGGCGAGATGATGTCGTTGCGTAGCGGGCCGGTCGCGTTGTCGGATCGCAAGCTCGGGCGCAAGCACTCGTTCTCAGGCCGGTCGATCCACTCGCGGCCAGCGTCGCCTATGCACTCTTTTCGGTCTCGAACCTCGGCGAGCTGGGCGGTGACGTCGGCGCAGCGCCTCTGCGGCTGGGCGGAAAGTCAAAGTCGCGGTCCCGGCGGTCGACATCGGTGGCAACTATGTCGCCGGGCTCCTCGCCGCCGATCTCCTCGCCGCTGGTTCTGCCGTCGCCGACGGCGTCGCCGTCGTCTGCGGTGGCGCGGCGGAAGCTGTCAAGTGGCAAGCGGACGCCCAAGTCAGCGCGATCAAAGGACCAGCGGTTCTCTGGCTCGGTTCCGGGTCAGTTCTCGCCGATACCAGAGATTTTCGCCGGGTCGGCGTCGGTGAAGCTCTCGCCGGGCACACCGGTGGTGGAGACGCCGGTGGGCAAGGTGACCAAAGTGCGCGTGCGGACGCGGCGGCGGCGGCAGCGGTCGGACTCGTCGAGGCGGCGGCGCAACCGGCAGCTCTCGCTTTCGGGGTCGCGGTCGGGCGGGTCGTCGAGCAGCGCGCGATCGCCTGGCGGCTCGCCATCGCCAGACGTTGTTGTCGTCTCATACTCGAACGCCAAGCTGGCTGCAGCCGGAACCAGCCAGAGCGACAGCGAGACCTCGTCTGACTCGTTTGCGTCGCTCAACTCATCGGCGTCGTCCAACGATGACAACACATGTCCGCTGTCACCGTCGGCAGCGCAGCGAGGGCGGCGGCAGAAGATCGAGAACAACCGGCGTAATTCGGAGGCAAAGCGGATGGAGGGCGCGGCGAGGCCGTTCCGTGCGCGCAAGACACAGTCGTCGGAATTGCTGATGACGACCGAGCCGGCAACGCGGGCGCAGCGGAAGCGGGCTGGGAGTGGTGGAGATGACGGGCGGGGCTCGGGCTCATCATCACGCAAGGCTTCAGGCTCGTCGTCCAAGTCGCGATCGCGCAATTCGGGCGAGCGCGACATTGGGCTCCGGGTCCAGGTCGATCTGTTCGAGACGGGCACGGGCCGGCGCCGTGGATCATCGAGCGTCTCACCCGATGGGTATGGGAGCCGGTCGCCGCCGCGGGCGGCAGGCAAGGTGCGAACGCCTGGACGACTCTCGAGCCGGCGCTCGCAGCAAAAGCAGCAGCGGCCGACCAGCATCCGGGAGAAGAAGCGGCTTGCCAAGGGCAAGGAGGATGCGTGGTCGGGGTCTGGCGAGTGACGACAAACAGCATCGTTGCCTCACGCTGTCGCAGCCTTGGCCGGCTCGGTCACATTTACTACTCCGAGTTGTAGTCCATGTTTGCGTTCTGGGCGGTAAAGTCGAGGACAAAGGCCTTGAGCAGCTGCCACGAGGTGGCATCCGAGGCGATGGCGCGCAAGACCTGCTTGCGTTCCGGGACGGACAGCATCTGGAACGAGTTGACAAGGTCTTGCGGCGAGAGAGCTTGCAGGCCGGTAGACGGCGGCGGTGGAGCGGTGCGGGAAGCGGTGCGGGAGGCGAGGACCTCGGCAAGGAGGTCCTCACCCTCGCCGAAGGAAGAGAGGCCGAGCGAGGAGAAGAGTGGGTCGGCGTCAAGGCCGCCCGAGGGATCGGTCGGCTCGCCGAGACTCGAGAGCAACGGGTCGGCAAAGAGGGCAGTGGAGGCCGGCGAGAGGCCCTTGGCGTAGTTAATGGGCGAGGCAACGTCCATAGAGGTGAGGCCGAGCGGGAGGGCGAGCGAGGAGAGGGCGGCCGGATTGAGGGTCCGCGACGAGGCGAGGACCGATGTGGCTGATGGCAGTTGGCCGTCCGAGCCCGGTTGGACGGCCGTCGGCAGTTGGGAGCCGGTTGCAGCTGGCAGCTGGCCAGTGTACGCCGCATGGGCGGCGAGCGCCTGCTCTTGGACCGACGGCTGGCGCGGGAGGCCGGAAGGCGGAAGAGCTGATGTGGCCGACGACGATGCTGATGAGGCTGATGCTGAGGCGGCGCCAATGTCCATGTCTGTCATGCCAGAGCCTGGTTGGCTCCACTCTGGCGGAAACGGCGAGGAGCCGGTGGCTTGAGTAGCGGCAAGCATGGCGTCTTGCTGGGCAGCGAGCTCGGTCATGTCGGCGGGGATCTTGCGGCGGCGTGAGTCCGGGTCAGCAGTGGGAAAGGCCGGTAGCTCGAGCTCGCCGGTGCCTGCGATGGCAGAGAGATTTGCGAGCTTGCGGCGCTTGCGAAGCGACTGCATGGAGAGGAAGCGGCGGACGTCTGCGACGGGGATGGCCTTTGTGCCTTTCTTGTTGAGGAACTTGGAGACGACCTTGATTCGGGGCGAGTAGGCGACCTCGACGCGGATGATGTCGCCGCGTGCATTGAGCTCGACAAACTGGACCTTAATATGGAACAGGTGGTGGCCATGAAAGTGTGAGTTGCAGGAGAGGAAGGCCTTGAACTGGCGCGAGCCGTCTGCGTTGAGGTCTCTGTAGCGAACAACAGGATATGTCTCATGCGGGGCGAGATCAGCAGATGCCTGAGCCGACTTTGCGGCGCGATGGGTGTCTGGGTGATAGTACTTGTTGTTTGTGTGCGTGACAACACCCGGCGGGGCGTCTGAGCCCATGGGGATAAAGCCGTCGACCTCCTCGCCGTACTCGATGATACGCATGGGCGGCTGCTTGCGCTTCCATCCCAGAGTGTGTGTATCAGGACAGCGCTTGCACCGCTTGAACGGCTCGCCCGAGTCATAGACCACCGACCACAGCAGGTAGTTGGAGCCAACACACTCGACAGCGTTGTCGGCGGTGGTATGCCACACCTCCAGCTTGGGATAGAACGCCCGCTCGCGCCAGATCTCCAGCACTCCCGAGGGGAGGAACCGGACAGAGGGCGAGCCATGCCGGACCGTGTTGGTTTCAAAGGTGAAGGAGACGGACAGCGGCATGGTGGTGGTGGTGGTGGTGGTGGTGGTGGTGGTGTGTGTGTGTGTGTGGGGGGGTGGTGGTGGTGGTGGTGGTGGTGGGGTTGTGGCAGGAGGGAATGCGTGGGTTGGGTTTGGGTCGGTTGTTGCGTTTGGGGGAAAAGTTGCTGTGGTGAATGTCTCAACGAGTGCGATGGGGGGTGGTGGCGGTGGTGATGGGGATGGGGGGGGTGGGGGTGGTGATGGGATGGGATGGTGATGGGATGGTGAGGTATTGGGGGTGTGGTGGTGGTGGTGGGGGTTGGCGAGTTGATGGTGATCGTGGGGGTAATGGGGATCGACGCTACATGCAAGCATTTACGTGCACAAGAAGCGAAGCAGCAAGACGAGGGAAAGGGAGGGAGGGGGAGGGAGGGAGGGAGGGAGGGGGGCTGCTACATCTAATCGACCTTGGGGTGGTTGACGGGCGACGGCGATGGGAAGAGGAAGAACTTGTAGATGACAAAGCCGACAAAGAAGAGGCCAAAGGCGGACCAGCCGTACACGATGATCGGCGACGGCGGAACGGTGAACTCGCCCTGGCCAAACTTGATGACGAGGAGAAGCTCGAGGAGGATGCCGGCGGCGGCGACCCAGAGCTGGGCGCCAAACCGCTTGCACTTGGGGTTGGTGACAAACTCGTAGAACTCGCGGAGCGCAGGGAGGGCAATGAGCCACCAGACAAAGAGCCGCAGCGGGTTGATCGGATGCGGCGGCGGGATCCACAGCAGGGTCTTGAGGAAGAAAGCGCAGAGCTCGTTGACCTCGATAAAGATGATGACGACAATGACGTAGGAGAAGCGCTTGAGCGAGGAAAAGGCTTCCCAGCGGTAGACGGTCCACCGCTCGGGCGTAAACTGGAGGGCAGCGCGCTGCATCTTGCCCTGCACCGACGGGATAGCGCCGATGCCTGTCCAGTTGTACTCCTTCATCTCGAGGTAGCGCACAAGCCAGAAGCCGACAACCATGCCCAGAAGGTTGCACACCAGCACGTCGAGGATAAAGTGGTCCCACCAGCACTCGCCAAAGTTGGGCAGCATGTGCTCGAACGAGTACTCGAGAATCTCAAAGAAGATGGAGAGGACCCAGCAGAGGGTAAAGTCGCGGAGCATGAGCATCTTGGCCATCCAGCCGAGGGCGTGGGCAATGACAAACTCGTCAAAGAGCGCGTCCATCAGGTTCGCCATGTAGCTCGTCGGGTGGTCTGGGGTGAAGAGCCGGCAGTCATCGCCATACGATCGCTCCGGCAGTGGAACGCCAAGCACAGGGTCAAGATGCGCCATCAGGGCCCGGGCGTCGGCCTTGGACTGGAACAGGAGATACGTCAGGGCGAGGACGTACAGGACCGAGATGCCGAGCACGATACGCCAGACTGCAGGATGCGGGCGGATGAAGGGGCCGTTGGAGAAGTTGAGCATGGAAAAGACGAGAAAGACAAAGGCCGCAGCAAGTAGACCGAGCTTGGGCGAGGAGAGGCCCCACTGCTCCGACTGGAAGCCGACCCATGCCACCGCTGCCAGCGCCGCCGCAAGAGCCGTCACTGTGTGCGGCTGCTGAAACACGGCATCGTACTTGGAGACAGGCGCCATCATCGGCAGCGCCTCTTCATACACAGGCTCGGCTTCTGCCCGCGACCGCATGACCTTCTTGTTCTGACGCATGCATGAGGAGAAGGGGTGGGGGGGGGGGGGGGGGTGAGTGGCGGGATGCCGGCAGCGCGGGAAGAGGGTGAGAAGGGGAAGGGCGAGGGGCAAGGGGGAAGGGAGGTGGAGGGAGGAGGGGGCGTACCATAGTGAGTGGGTGAGTGGGTGGGTGGTGGGTGTTGGTGGGGAGGGAGTGTGGTGGTGTTGGTGTTGGTGTTGGTGTTGGTGCTGGTGTTGGTGCTGGCAGCGTTGGGCGGCCAGCTAACCGCTGCCGTCGACGTGGCGCACGGCCAACTGGGCGAGCGAGACAGGCCAGCGAGGGAGAGGCAGAGGGGGGGCGGAAGTGGGACGGGGCGAGGTCATGGCTGAGCCAATTTGGTGCGGTTGGCCCAAAGGGCGACGTCATCGACAAAAAAAGATTTGTTCGTGAAACCACTTTTCGCCGCTTTTTCCGCCCCGCCCCCCCCTCCCCCTCCCTCCCGTCTCACAGAACACAGGCTAGGCCGGTACCTTGGACAAGAGGAGACGACAAAGGAGGCTGTAGATACAGCGACAGACAATTGAGGAATACGGAACACTTGTTGACTTTGTTATTCTTGCGACTCGCTTCAACTCGTCAGGTCATGCTCGACAAGCTTGCACCTGAGCTTGTGGTTCACATCGCCTTTGCCACCGGCTTGCTCTCGCCGGGCGATGTTCTGGCACTGGCGACCTGCTGCCGGAGACTGCGGACGGTACTGACTCAGCCAGGCTTTGTTCACGAGTGCTGGCTCTCGCTCGGCGGCCTGGCATGGACTGTGGAGCACTCGCTCTGGACCGCCGCCCGCCTTGCCGCTCGCCACACCGCCTCGCCTCGCGACCTCGAGTATGCGCTCCGCACCGCCGTCAGCGTGACGCCATCCGACGCGCCGCGCGTCCGTCGTCGTGCGTCAGCCAAGCACGGCTTTGCCTTTGCCTTTGGCCTCGGGCCCGAGCCCAGTCCCGGGCTCCGCCGTTGCTCGGGCGCTGAGCTGACGGTGCCTATGCCGTCGCCGGCCATGGTCTCGCCGATGCCAGCGAGTCTTTTGTCGCCGGCCGCCGATGCCGCGTCGCCTCGGACCCCGGTGCCGCCGGTCTCGCCCACCCCCGCCACGCCGCGATATCTGCTCGGCCCGGATTCACCGTCGTCGTCAGCTGCACCCTCGCTCTCGGTCTCAGTCACCGCGTCGGCCTGCCCAACCCCCGGCCCTTCGCCGGGCACGCTCTCGACGCTGCCGTCGTCGGGCACGCGCGACCAGTGGTTCCGCCTCATCCGCGCCATCCTCCGCCACCCGCTGCTCGACCCGCGCTGGCTCGCCACCAACATGGTGCTCACCATCGCCGCCAAGCACGGTCACGCCGACGTCGTCGCACTCCTCCTCGCCGACGACCGCATCGACCCGGCCCGCCATCACTCGGCCGCCCTCGGCTCGGCAGCCGAGCATGGACACCTTCCGGTCGTCGAGCTGCTGCTCGCCGACGGCCGAGCCGACCCTTCTGCCCGCGACAACTTTGCCATCCGCTGGGCGTGCGAAGCCGGTGCCTCTGGCGTCGTCGAGGCTCTCCTCCGCGACCCGCGGACCGATCCCAACGTTGACGACCTCGCGCCGCTCAGCATCGCTGCCGAGCGCGGCCACGCTCCGATTGTTCGCATGCTCCTGGAGCACCGTCCACCGGTTTCGGTCCGCGCCGACAGCGACTTTGCGCTTCTCTCGGCCGCCGCCGCAGGTCACGTCGACGTCATCCGCCTCCTCCTTGCCGACGCTCGCGTAGACCCGTCGGTCCGCAACGACGCCGCCTTGCGCCGCGCCATGCACAATGGCCATGTCGCCGTCGTCCGCGAGCTCGTCGCCGACGAACGCGTCGACGCCGCCCTCGCCGTCGAGCAGGCTCGCTCGTGCGGATTTCACGACATGCTCGCAGAGCTTGTCTCCCACCCGCGTATCAAGGAATCGCTCCCTTCGCACATCCTTGCTCTCCTCTCAGACGAGTCGCTGCTTCCTCGTCGTCGCCACGTGTCGATGCCAACGTCGACGTCTACGCCGCTGCCGCTGCTGCCGCCATGCTCAAGCCAGTTGTGCCAGCCGCTGCCGCCTCGTCCCTCGGTGCTTGACCGCCCTTTCTCTCTCTTGTCATCATCATCTTCTCGGATGTGGGGCTGGTCCTTGTCGGCCCAGCCTCCCTCCATCCCTCCATCCCTCCATCTGACAACCATTGACGTGATGGCCATCTCGATCTTTCCCATTTTCCCCTTACCCTTTCCTCGAACATCGAAACACAACAGTACTGGCAGTCACACACCGCAACCAGAGTGTGCTCGGCTCGACATACCGCTAGTCGGTGGCCCCATTCCGACCTGCCGCCACCCGCCGCCACCCGCCGCCACCCGCCGCCACCCGCCAGGCCCGTTTGCCACCCAACAGTCCCTGTTTCACCAGTACAGCTCTCTCTCTCCCTCCCTCCCTCGCCCCCCCTCCACCCCCACCCCCACTTTATCCTCTCCTCCCTCTTGCCCCCCCCTCCCCCCCCCCACCCATGCCGTGGGACCCGTCCACCGAATGGGTGGACGTCTTCCCGGCCACTCCCGCGGCAAGGACCCCCATCACGACGACGACGACCACCGCTACCACCACCAGGCCGCCACCCGACGGGACGCCACACACCGCCACTCTGGGTGCTGCCCCGCTACAGAAGCTGAGACAGGAGACGCACCGAGAGCCTCGCCAGCATGTCTACCAACATGCCCATCAAGATGTCCATCATTCCCCCCGTCAAGGTATCCACAACCTTCAGGACGACTTGCTGCTCAACGGGCTTGGCTCGTCATCGCTCTCTGCTCTCGCGGCCTCGGCATATCCGCACCCGCCCCCGCATCATCCGCTTGCTAGCCGTGCCCATGCTCATGCTCGCATCGCCGCCACTCGTGCTGCTCTTGCGGCTGCCAACGCGGCTGCTGCTGATGCCAGTGCTGCCGATGCCAGCATTGCCGCTGCCCATGCCGTGCTGGACGCTGCCCGTGACGATGCTGCTGCCGCATGTCACGCTGCGTATGCGGACGCTGTTGCAGAGGTGGCCAAGGCCCGCGATGCTTCGCTGGCGACTGTTGATGCTGTGGCGGCCCAGCACGCGGCTGCCCTCCATGCTGCAGGCAACGACGCCGCCCACCTGCGCGCCATTCTCGCAGACTCGGTGGCGATGCTCGAGGCTAAGATTGCGGCAGACTCGGCCGGGACCTTTGTTTATGACCACAGCGAGACGCTTGCTGCGGCTGAGGACGTCCTCGCCCGAGCCAACGACTCGCTGGCGGCCCTTGCTCGCCTTCCGCTCGCCGCACAGCTTGCGTCTGCACCGGACGCTGTCTTTCACGATCTGGAGCTCCCGGTCCGCTCGCTGAGGGTGACCGTGGCAGCTCCGCCGGCACACATGTCGGTTCACCGTGCATCGGTCCGATCGCTTGCCTCGTCGGCCTCGGCATCGTCGGGGAACCATCGATGCAGAAGCAACCGGCGCTTGCCGCACCACCGCTCCAAAGCCTCGCGCCGTAGGCTGGCCATGGTCAACTCGGCAAACTCGTCGTCAGACAATGTGCACGGCGAGTCGCGTTCGAATCCGTTGGATGACCTGTTGGCCAGCTGCGGCAACGACGACGACGACGACGACGACGACGACGGCGATGATGATGGTGATGACGATGATGATAGCCGTGACTCGCGGGGGAACAGCGAAGGCACCACCTTTGCAGAGCCAAAGTTCTTCGAGCCAGCAGCTCCGACATCGCAGCCGGTGGCATCGGCAGCATCGGCGGTCGGCTCATCCTCGGGCTCGTTTGGCCTCGGGTCGGACATCTCGGCGCCGCCACCACCACCACCACCACCGTTTGTGCCGGTGACCACAGTCGATGCTGACGACGCATCGGTCCTTTCATCGACATCGAGTTCGACAACAACGTCGAGTTCCCTGGTTGTCGGCCGCGGGTCGGAGCTGACGGTTATGCAGCGCAAGGTTCTGATCAACAAGCTCGAGTCCAAGGTTCGCGGCGCGTCAGCATCGACGGCCAAGTTCTCGACAGCAGCCTCGGTCGCCCGGCATGTCCGTCCGCGGCGCGTCCGCTCCGAAGCCAACAGCGCAAGCCACGCCCTGCCTACCCAGCTCACGGCACTTCTCACTGACGAGTCGCTGGCCCTTCCACAGCTCGCGCGGCGACTCTCGGCCGAATACTCGGTCCTCTCGGCCAAGTTTGAGGAGCAGCTTGCCGCCAATCGCATGCTCACCGAGACAGCATCATCGGCCGAGCTCTCGACCCCGTGGAAGGTTGATCCCAATGTCGCACTTGACCTCTCATCCGACTCGGATGCAGACGACGCCGGGTCCGAGTCTCACGAGCCGATGCCGATCCGTCAGGTTCCGCGCGCTGACCACCTGCCTATTCGGTCGGGCCTTCCGCCGCCGGCGTCGAGCCACCTCCAGTTCCCGCAAAGCAAGCTCCAGCCGGAGACCAATGTGGATCCCCATGTGGTCGGCTCACAAAAGGGCTCGCGTCGCCATTCGCTCGCGGGCTCGCCGCCGGGCTCGCCGGTTGTCAGCGTCTTTCCAGTCGATCCTGGAGGCCGACGGCGGAGGACGCTCGATGCCACCGCGTCCGACGAGGTTGTGCAGCTGCTGACAACCGGCCCGCCGCGGCCTAACCCGCACGCGCGCAGCGCGGCAGGTGACTCGGCAGCGGCACCTGCCATGCCGTCGGTGGAAAAGGAGATCCTGCAGCTGATGGCCTCGCTCGGCATGAACCGCCCATCGGCGGGCGGCAGTAATGGCGCCGACTTTGACGCCGAGGTTCAGACCTCGTCGGCGGTTGCGGCGCTGATGTCATATCTCGCCAAGAGCGAGGCTCGCAACGAGTACGCGACCAAGCCCCAGTGCCCGCCGTCGACCTCACCGGCGACGGTCACCGCCGCACCGCCGCCATCCACCTCGCCGTTTGAGCACTCCCTCTCTCTCGACGGCGAGGTCCCGACGCTGGCGACCACTCACGCAGCCGCGCCGTCGCCGCCAACTCTCGTGCCGCCCGGCGGCCGCCCAGCCGAGCTCATCTCGGCCGCCACTTCGCCGCTGGTGTACAACTCGCTCGAGGGCCACATGCGCGACCTGTTCGCCACCCTCGGCTCTCGGGCCGCCGCTGACGCTGGTGATGGTGAAAGCGAGGTGTAGTTTAGCTTTGGGATGGTGCTATGGATAAAAGCTGCGTTGGCTGTACCGGGTGGTTGGAGGTTGAGGATAGAGGCTGGCGTACGGCGATGCGTAGGCGGATGCGTACGACGACGCCAGCTTTGACGGCGGTGCGGGTGCCCGGCCTGGCGAGACGGTATACGGCTCAGCAGCCTTGGCTCGCAGCGGCTCGGCTTTGGAGATCTCCCGCGAAATGGCCGAGGTGAGCTCGTCGATGCGGGACTGCAGCGCGGAGGCATGTGGCGTGGTGGCGGCGGTTGTTCGCGCCAGCGAGGCCTCGATGGCGGCTGTTTCTTCGCGGGCCCGCGCCAGCTGCGCCTCGAGTGCTGCCACTTCGGCCTCTTGCTTGCTCCGCCGCGTAGAGACCTCCCGCTCGGCGGCTGCGGTGGCGTCGCGCTGCTCCTTGGCCGCCAGCAGAGACGCCGACAGCTGGGCCATGATTTCGGCGTGACTGGTCTTGCGCTGGGCGTCTTTCTTGGCCAGCTCTTCAAGCTTGACATCGACTGCTGCAACCTGATTGAGTACGCTCCGAAGCTCGCTCCGCGCTGCCGCTTGTTGCTCTTGCTGCTCCTTGTAGTGATGGGTTGCCTGGAGGGCGTGCTCCTGATATTGGGCCAGCTTCTCGGCGAGCATGCCGCGCGCGTCTTTCAGCTCGTCCATGAGCGTCGCGTCGGTCCGCACCATATTCTCACGCGCCGAGACCTCGCGGGCGATCTGCTTGTCCAGCTGGGCGTTGCGAAGCTCAAGATCCTTCTTGAGGGCGGATACCTGTTCCTTGCGGCGGAGAAGTTCGGCGTAGACAACTTTGTTGTCGGCAATGTGTGCGACCAGCTCGCGCGACTTGGCCGCAAACTCGGCTTCGTCGGATGCCGATGCGGCCTCGAGCTCAGCAATGAACGTCCGCTCGGTCTTGATCAGCCGCTTGGCAGATCGCAGCTCGGTCTCCAGCTCGGAGCGCTTGGAAAGAAGCAAAGCGCGCCGGCGCGCGACCGAGTCTGGCGACTGCTTGGCTTCGGCGAGCCTGCGGGCGAGGACAGTTTGCAGCTGCTGGATCTCGCGCTCGAGCTCGTTGTTCTCAAGATCGATAACTGAGTTGGCATCCAGCTCGATCCGGACAGCGTCAGGCGGCGGCGGGATGTCGGAAAGCTGCTGCTTGAGGTGGTCGATTTCGGCGAGCAGCCCACGCTTGCGCGCCTCGGTCGCTACCTCTTGCCGCTTGGCTTCTTGCAGCAACGAGCCTGATTGGGCCTTGGCTTCGAGCACCTTGGCGCTCAGCGCGGCGGCTTCGTCGGCGAGAACTGCGACCTCGGCCTTGAGCTGAGGGACTTGCGAGGATGCGCCCAGCTTTTGAGCGACCTGAACCACGTTGTCGCGTGCCTTGCCCACCACCGATCGGAGGTACGCGACTTGCGCTAGACCACCGGCTTTGGCGACCTCGAGCGCGAGCACCTTCTCTGTTGCCGCTGCCTTTTCGTCGCCGAGCGTCTCGAGGTAGCCTGACATCTTGACCTTGTACTCAGACAGCATGTCAGCCAGGCGCGAGTTTTCGGCCACCAGTGCGAGGTACACGTCTTGCGACACACCGGGCATCCCGATCTCGTGCTGGGCCCGCAGCTCGGCCTGTAAGTGTGCCAGCTCGTTGGTGAGTCGAATGTGAGTTGCCTCCAGCTCATGCTTCTTGCGTGAGGCATCACTGCGCGAGCTTTGCCGATCCTGCGACATCCGCGTCAGCTTGGTCTTAAGCTCCTTGACTTGGGCCTCGAGCCGGACATTGGCCTCGGAGAGATGCAAAGCCTCATCAGCGTCCTGGCGAATTCGGGCGGCACGGCTGGCAGCGTTCTCCTGTTGGACCTGGAGCTCGGTCTGAAGTTCGAGCAGGTGGACTTCGCGCCGCTGGGCCTCGGTCAGCGCCCGTTGTGCATCAAGCTCTTTCCGCTGCAGGACCTGGGTCTCTGCCTCGAGCTGGCCTGCCAGCACGTCGTTGGCTCGCTGCTGGGCGTCGTTGGCAGCCTGCAGCCTTGTGAGGCGCGAGAACAGCTTTTGCGCGTCGGCAGAGTCAACCTCTAGTGCCTGTCCACGGTCCTCGAGCTCGCGGCGACGGACGCGCAGCTCCTCCTGCTCTACAAGAGCCGCGGCAATGGCGCGCTCGAGCTCGCCGGTCCCGCTAAAACCGGACGCCAGGGCGTCGTTGGAAGCCTTGAGCTTAGCGTTGGCCACTTCGAGCTCGACCAGTCGCTGCCGGAGCTCAGCGCTCTCTGCAGACGAAGGGGCGGAGATCGGGCGTATCGCCACCGGTACAAGGTTCTCTTTCTCCGGCTCAGGTTTGAGTCCTGGATCTGCAGCAGATACTGGCTCGAGGCCCTTGGGTGGCTGCTCGACAGGAGGCGCAGGTGCAAGAGGCTCAGGAGCCGCAACAGGCGCCGACATCGGTTCCACCTGTGGCTCCGGCTCGTCGATGGGCTTGGCCTCGGGGACCGGCTCTGGCTCGGGAACCGGCTCGGGCTCGGGAACCGGCTCTGGCTCTGATTCTAGCTCGGGTGGCGGCGGCTTTTTGGGCGGCTTGGGCTCATCGGGTGCCCGGAGAAGGTTGGGTGCCCGGAGAAGGTTGCGCGGGACAAAGCCGATGGCGCTGGCGTCGACAGTCTCACACAGGGCCCAGCCGGCCTCTTCACCGTGGACGAGAAGGACGGAGCCCTTTTTGATTTTGAGTCTGCGCGTGCAGGCGGACCTGTTGCGCGGAGTGTAGTTGAAGGAAGCAATGTGCGGCAGCGGTTGGTCGAGGAGGTAGTTGTTGCGGAGGGAGGCGATGTGTGAGGCCGGGACAAAGCCGACCTCACCCTCTGGCCGCCCGGTGGGCGAGTCGGCCAGCCTGCGGATCTTGCACCAGGCCGGCATGGCGGCCTTGCGGACGCCGACAATGCCGGTCACCCCCTTTGTCCGGGACATGCTGACCGGGCCTGGCGGATCCAGACGGACAACGATCTCGCCCTTGGCTAGTGCCAGGGGGGTGAGGCCGTCGATCGATGGGAGAGGGTCGTCGGGGACAAAGGCACCCAGAGCTACGGCATGCGGGGTGAAGTCAACCAAGACAGCACGGGGCACATGACCGGTGGCCTCGCTCTCCTCTGGCCTCCTCGCGGTCCACCACAAAGCGCCGGGCGATCTCCGCGTGACCTCGACGACCTCGCCACGCTTGACGGCCAGCACGCCGCGTTCTCTCCCGCCACAATCAGCGGTGGCGATGAACAGCTCGGGAGGGGTACCATCTTCATTCCCCATGACACGCGCACAAGGGGAGGAAGTAGAGGTGGAGAAGATGCGGAATGTGTCCGTGAAGTGGTGGGGATGAGTGTGGCTGTTGGTCCTGCCACCGTGCATGGCAGCTGCCCCGTTGAGCACCAGCCAACGGTCGGATCCAACCGGATCAATGGTTTGTTCCCGACGGGCTCACTCTCGTAGTGATGTCCTTGGCAAGCCGAGACCACAGACAATCGCATGACGCCAATCGCCAGACCCTTGACCTTTACGCGTGTGTGTAGAAGGTTGGGGAAGCCTGGATGCCAGAGGCTGAACTAAAAGAGGGAGGAAGGACTGTATGATGTACGGGGGGGGGGGACAGTGCCCCGGCAGATGCTGCGCTCGCCATGTGG